GACTGCCCCCCGCAGGGAGTCACCTGGGAGAGGCCTGGCGTAGGCGCTCACCTGTGGCAGGCAGGGTTCCTCTCACACTCCCACTGGGTGGAGCCTGCTCAGATTCACGTCTGAAGACCACGAGAAGCAGAGACCTCAACCTGCCTCCAGGTCACTGGCTCAGGCCCTTGGACTCTGGGCGAGAACCAGCGCCAGCCGGAGCATGAGCTGCAGGATCACCACGCCGGCTAGGAACTGGTGGGAAGACCAGCCCAGGTGGGAAGACCCTCGCAGCTCAGTGACAGCAGCAACCCAGAGCTGTGGCCTGAACCCCTTCCTGGGCCCGGGGCCAGAAGCTTATTGATATGCTGAAAGGATTTGGTGGCAAAGTAAATGAAGCCTCCAAACTAAAGCGAGCGTGGGGGGTCCTGAAACAGATGAGAGGCAAGGCCGAGACCACCCGTGGGTGTCCTTCAGGGGGAGGACAGTGAAGCCCCTTGTTCCACTCCCAGGAAGCAGGCCCAGTCAGAGGAACAGTAGAGCGGGCCCCGTGGGGTGCCCAGGTCAGCGCCGTCTTGAAGGACACCAACTCTCTGCCTCGTACACTGCTGCAGGGTGGACGAGCACCCTCTGTAGCTGCCCTCTCGAGTGCACACCAGGACAACTGCCTGGGATGGTGGCCGTACAAGGACCAAACAGATGAACGATGTCACTGCTTCTGTAGCCCAGCTTATCAACCCTTTCCCTGCCGTAGCTGGTCACATCAGAGCACCGTGGAGAGGGAAGTACCCGTTCAGGTGCCCGCTGCTGGGCAAACATTGAGGAGATTGAAGATGCACTTTCTGAAGAAGCACCCTGTGAAATGGAGGAGAACGTGCTCCGACAGTTGCCTCTGGATCCTCCCCGGGAACCTCTCTGATGAACCTCTATCCCATCCCCTCTCCAGGTCTCCTCTTGGCTGTCTTGGCAGCCTGCCCCACTGCCCTAGCACATCTGGGCTGTGGATGGTCCCAGGGACAAATGTGAAGAAATGGTCAGGTGGACACACCCTGCTCCACGTCCCTCGGAACCCTGTGGGCACAGGCCGGGGGAGAGCTGCAAACAGCCGGGTGCACGTGTCAGCTGTCCGCTCTGCCACGGTGCTTTCTGAAACAGGATCACGTGCCTTTGCTTGTTGGATCAGACCTGGCATCTGTGGGCGACGTCAACAGAGATATTACTGAGCTCATTTTATGGATGGGCTCAGAGAAGCAAGCCGTGTGACTTCCCAAGAGTGGAAGTCCCTGGACTAAATCTTAGTGAAAGAGAAACTTAAGGGGCCTTAGTTTACATTCACCTTTTGCCATTTTAGAAAGCACACATGATCAGGATGGAAAGAACAAACAAACGAGGGTCACTCTTGTCCACCCCTGAAGTGCCATGCACATGCAAGGTGTCTTACAGCCCTTCTCCCTCTCCCTCCTCTCTCTGATACACACACACACACACACACACACACACACACACACGCATGTTTCTGGGGATCCCCCTGGATGTATAATCATAGATGCTTCTTAATGTAATAATATGTGTGACCATCCTGTAATGTGGCTTGAATTCTTCTCGGAGCATTGATTCAGCGGCTGGCTCCGCAGTCCTGAGTCTGACCCGTGCCCTCATGCACCCCCTTAGATGGCTTCTGTCTGGCTGGTGGGGATAGCACTGTGTGCTGTTTTCCCTTGCTGAGAGTTCGTTTCTCCCTCTTACCGTGATTACATCCAGAGCTGCACCTGGGTCTGGCCCTCTTCCTCTGCTCTCTGACCAAATTTCCCACTCGCTGTGCTGACTGCCGATTTGACATCTTTTTTTTTTTTTTAAGAGAGAGTGACAGAGTGAGAGAGAGAATTTTTTTAATATTTATTTTTTAGTTTTCAGTGGATACAACATCTTTATTTTTTTGTGTGGTGCTGAGGATCGAATCCAATGCCCGGCGCATGCCAGTGCATTACAGCTTGAGCCACATCCCCAGCCCCAACTTGACATCTTCGATTTGATGGTTTTATCAACCCTGACTTTCCAGGAGCAGTATCTGGTCTTTTCCCCAATGTTGGAGGGCATAGACCATGTCCCTCAAAAGCTCCTGTGTCGATGCAGGAATGTTCAAATGTAAAGTTGTTACCAAAAGCTCAGCCCCTGTCCTGATACCGACTGAATTACAAAGACATGGTTTTGAGCAAAGGGGAAAAGAAGTATTATTGCTTTGCTAGCAAAGGAGAAACAAGATTCCTGTCCCAGAAGTGGTGATTCTGCCCATCGGCAGGAACAGGGGGCTTTTAAAGAGGGGACTCAAAGGCTCCACTCCAGTGTTCTCTGTTGAGTTGTAATTCACTTGTTACTTTGGGAGACAGTCATTTCTGTGATCTGCTGGTGCCACCCCCAAAGTCTGACTTACTTTGTTCCTATGGTGGGTGTGTCCTCGAGGACAGATAACTCTGCCTAGGATGGGAAAGAAAGGTAACCCTGTTTCACCTGAGATTAGGGAGGGGAAGGGAGAGATTAGGGAGAGCAGGGGGAGAGGAAGAGAAAGAAACATGTCACAGTGGCAGAGCAGCAAGGGTTGTATTCGAAGCATAAAGTGAACCTCTGTTGCAAATGATTGGACTGTGAGCGCTGTGAGCTGAGAGGTCCATTCTGGTTCGGAGGGACTGGCTGGGAACCATGGGCAGGGGCTGTGGCTGCAGGAGGGTCACTGGTGGAATGCTCTAGAAGGGTGCATCTTCCCTGTGGTCCCTTCCTCCCCCTCTCTGTGCTTCCTGGACACCAAGAGTGAAGCAGCTTCCCTCTGCCACTCCATGCCACCAAGATGTCCACCCACTTCTTGTTCCCAGAGCAATGGACTCACCTAACCAAGGACTAACTCTCTGGAACCATGAGCCCATAATAGACTTGTCCTCCTGTGAGTGGCCCATGCCTGGTATTTTGGTCAGCAATGCAAAGCTCACTAGCACAGCGATTGCTGCTGAGAAAAGGAGTTGTTGCTGTGACAAATGGCTGGAGGGTACACATGTAGGGGCTCATCATGTGGCTGGGGGTGCACACGTCGGGGCTCCTCATCATGTGTCTGGAGGATGCACCTGTGAGGTTCCTTAGATGGCTGGAGTGTGCACCTGTACTTGCTCATCAGGTGGCTGGAGGGTGCACCTCTGTGGGTCAGCATCACATGGCTGATTTGTGCACCTGTGGGGTTCATCACGTGGCTAGAGGGTGCACCTCTGTGGTTCATCACATGGCTGAATTGTACACCTATAGGGTTCATCACGTGGCTGGAGGGTGATGAGACTTGTGGGGCTCATCACATGTCTAGAGGGTGCACCTGTAGGGGCTCACCACATGTCTAGAGGGTGCACCTGTAGGGGCTCACCTCAGGTCTAGAGGGTGCACCTGTAGGGGTTCACCACACGTCTAGAGGGTGCACCTGTAGGGGCTCACCACACGTCTAGAGGGTGCACCTGTAGGGGCTCATCGCATGTCTAGAGGGTGCACCTGTAGGGGCTCACCACATGTCTAGAGGGTGCACCTGTAGGGGCTCACCACATGTCTAGAGGGTGCACCTGTAGGGGCTCACCTCATGTCTAGAGGGTGCACCTGTAGGGGCTCACCTCATGTCTAGAGGGTGCACCTGTAGGGCCTCACCACATGTCTAGAGGGTGCACCTGTAGGGCCTCACCACATGTCTAGAGGGTGCACCTGTAGGGGCTCACCGCGTGTCTAGAGGATGCACCTGTAGGGGCTCACTGCGTGTCTAGAGGGTGCACCTGTAGGGGCTCACTGCGTGTCTAGAGGGTGCACCTGTAGCGGCTCATCATGTGTCCAGGGTCCACCTGTGGATATCATCACGAGGCTGGAGGGTGTGCCAACAAGCCCTCATCGTGTGTCCAGAGCAAACACCTGTGGGGGCTCATCATAGGGCTGGAGGGTGAACATGTGGGGCTCTTCACATGTCCACAGGGTGCACCTCTAGGAGCTCATCACGTGTCCAAGGGTGCACGTGTAGTGGGTCATCACATGGCTGAAGTGTGGGCCTACAGGGCCTCATCAGGTGTCTAGAGGGTGCACATGTGGGGCTCCCATATCAAGTAGGTGCACTTGTGGGGCTCAACGTGTGTACAGAGGGTGCACATGTGGGACTCATCACATGGCTTGAAGGTGCTCTGATAGGGTCTCATAACATGGCTGGAGTGTGCACCTGTAGTTGCTCATCTTGTGGCTGCAGGATGCACCTGTGGGGCCCATCTTGTGGCTGTAGGGTTCACCTGTGGGGGCTTATCTCATGGCTGCAGGGTGCACCTGTGGAGGCCCATTATGTGGCTGGGGGTGTACCTGTAGTTTCTCATCATGTGGCTGCAGGGTGCACCTATGGGGCTCATCTCGTGGCTGCAGGGTGCACCTGTGGGGGCCCATTATGTGGCTGGAGTGTGCACCTGTAGTTGCTCATCATGTGGCTGCAGGGTGCAACTGTGGGGTCATCATGTGGCTGCAGGGTGCACTGTCGGTGCCTATCACGTATGTGGGTGGAGGGTGCAACTCTGATGAGCCCGTCGCGTGGGGCGGCTCTGGTTCTCTCCGTGGCCCCCTCGGGCACTCTCCTTGAAGTGTGTCCCGCCTTCCCCAGAATGAACATCCGAACACCGAGGCCAGAGCTGTGCTGCTCTCCACAGCCTCCGGAGTCGGTTCATCGATAACCAGCTGCAGCAAGAGACACAAACACTTTCTGAAAGGGCTGTGTCTGGTCCGCTCTGTGACCTCCCTGCCTTGGATGGGGCTGTCACAGAGGTGAGGACCTGGACCATCTTTCCAAACCTCTTCAGGGCTCCCTGAGGTCCAGTGAAAACACGTTCCCTCTCCGTCTCTTTTTCTCAATGGAGCTCTGGGACTGAAGCCGCCACAGATGAATGGCAGGAGATGGGGGCGGCCCCTTCAGGCTGACGGTAACCACGTGAAACAAGGCCACTCTTCACATGAGTCTGTTTTGTTTAAAGTACATTTCCTTTTTTGGAAAAAAGAGTCTTATTTATGGTTGTATGTAATGGGTCTGGTTTATTTTAAAATGAATTCATAAGTGTTTTACGTTTATCACCTTTGTTTTCCAGTATGGTAAATATCAGAGGCTGGGATCCACTCCAGCAAATCCTCCGGCATTCTCACCTTCTCAAGCCCCTGCAGAAGTTCAAGACCAGTGGGTGCCTAGGGAACAGGGCAGCGGTCCTGGAGGCGGAGGACGACCCAAGGATCCAAGCCCCCTGCTGTGTGAGACAGACAAGGTAAGACTGCGGTGCACAGCAAGAGCTCCTTTATGTAACCTCAAACAACAGCAGGACTTTGCTTCACCTTGATTCCACTGCAAGAATCCTCTTTGCACAAGGTCTGGTGGAGATGGCCGCAGGGCTCCTGGGGGCTCCTGGGAGGAGGCGGGAGGTGGAGGAGGACTTTCACTTCTCCCCTGTGGATCTCCACACTGTTTGAACATTTGACAACGGGATTTGTTCACCTACTACCTAGCTTTCTGTTTCTGTTTCTAAGAACAGAGTGGAAGTTAACAGAGGGACTGGCCTCACCCAGCTGGGTGGACTCTTCAGAGAAGGCAGGTATCAGAGGCCAAGGACACTCAGGAGCGCTTTGTACCTGGTGCCCTGGAGTATGAGAATCCTGTGTTGGCTTTACTAATTCAGGTGCCAGAAACGCTGATCAGTACATTTAGGAGGCCCTGGCAGAGGATCTAGCCAGCTCCAAGGTGTGTGGTGTACACGGATGTCTGGGAACTCAGCCAGCTGGCCCTGGGGTGGAGCCGACCGGCCACAACCATAACAGGCCACTGTGTCCTGATCTCTTTTTAAACACCCTCGAGCCACGGCTCCCACGCGGCACCCCAGAGCCTCTGTATCAGGGTGTCTGAAGGCAGGAAGCCTCAGAGCACCACAGAGGAGCCTGTGGAGAGAGAGCCAAGGTCTCCAACCACCCCCCCACCTCCACCTTCTTCACCCAGGCACCAGAGACCCCTGTGTGTGCAGGGCGGAGCTTTGCTCCATGGCAACCTCATCACCATGGTAACTGCAAACTGGTCCAATGGGTCATCTTGCAGTAGAGGAACAGGAAGGGAGCTGGGGGTCACGGGTACCGCGGCGTCCCAGGGAGCCGGCCTTGGTGGAGGTGTCGGTGCTGACGATGACACCTACATAACTGGGGGAGGGGCTGTGCGGTTTCCACCTGCGGCCCACCCATGGGCCCTCCTGGCACTCCATGTTGTGGGTGGGAAGGGGGTCGAGGCTCGCCAAGCCCAGGCCAGGAGGTGGAGGAAGCAGGCGCTGGCCTGGGCCTGGGTGCCCAGGGGCCGTGGCCTGGTCCTGGCCACCCTGCGCGTGACCCCCCAGCTTCACAGCAGGCAGTCGTGCACCAGTCCCGCGGGCAACCCCAGGCCGCCGGCCACCACCCTGGCTCTGCGCCCTCCTTGCACGGCCTCCTGAACAGGGTTGGTGAGGACCGAGAGCCTGGACGTCCCAGGGGATTTCAGGAAGAAGGTTCGCTGACTGCGACGTCCAGAGGGGCTGTCGCCGGGACCCTCTGAACAAGGGTTCCGGAAGTTCCTGGGACTTCCCACCCGGGGGCGGGGCTCGGGCTGCTCAGAGCCTCCCTCGGAGCCCTCAGGGGGCGCCTGGCCTCCTTTCCCAGGACCACGGAGGCCCGCAGACGCCGCTTCTGAGACAGAGCGGCAGGGACAGGCAGCGGCCACAGCGAGCCTCTGTGAGCTCCTGGGAGGCTCTCTACCGCAGGTCCCGGGGTCTGCAGCCGCCCGGGGTCAGCCTGGGCCTGGCCGGTCACCGCCGTCTGTATGACCAGGACCTGGCGCTCGTGGGCACAGAGCCACCGAGGATGCACCACCCAGGCTCGGCCCGAGGTCCTCCACGTGCAGCTCACGCTGTGTGCTGCCTGAGTGTGTGCACACGGCCCTCGCCCTCGGGGGCACACAGACACAGAGGCTCTGTGTGCTGCCTGAGTGTGTGCACACGGCCCT